CGGAGCTGCTTCTTCTCCATATTCATGAGCTTTTCCTCTTAGAGTTGGTACTTTAATGACTATATTGTGCTTCCTTGTACGTGATGATGGTACAACTTCCGAAATATTCCACCTATGACGATTTTTTCCATAGAAATAATTCTGAGCTGGTAAATCATCTTCATTTCCTTCGGCTCCGTCTTCTGATAACTCACTATCACTTGTATGATCTGATTCCATGTATTCGTCTTCTGAGGCACTGTCTATATCACTAAAGTCACTTCCTTCATCCTCAAACCATTTTAGAACGGTTTCTTCGAACTCCGGATCATCGTATCGTACACGTTTAGAAGGTCCCGCCATACTCGCAAACGCACCTATGCAACACAAATAGCAAACGGGAACGGAAACGTGCCGTCTGACAGACTGCAACAAACTAAAATTGGTCCATATTTTAAGGCACGTTTTGGCTAGACTCGTGTGAATGGGGGTGGGCGATGGTCACTAATAGCTTATGGATTAGATGGGCTTTTACGTCTGTTAGAGGTGCAATAAAAAAAGATACGCTCAGGTATAGAAACGCCGCAGTCTCACAGACGGCACCTTTCCGGTTAAGGGTTAACTATAACTACTTCACTATATTAGATAATTTCGTTAAATACTGTCATCTTTGTTTTACAACACGTTGGTGGTAGTCCATCATTCGGAGGTAGCCCAGAATGAGGCCCTGTACGCCGTCCTTGCTTTTGGCAATCACGCATCCATTCTATCTTGGGTGTAAATACACTATATATCCAACAGCTTCGTGTAATGCAGCCGCTTGTGTGGTGGAGACAATTTTTGTTCGCCACACGTCTTTCAATATCATGAATTTTCATTTCAGGATGCTCTAAAATTTCGATCTTATAAATGAATATTCAAATGTCCCTTCTTGTCACGTATTCGGGGAGGAGACATCATTGAAGAGGAAGCATGGCTGAAGGAAGCATTGGGAGAAATATTCTCAGGTTCATCTGCTGTATCTGTAGACGACATGCTAATGTATAATAAACACACGCTGTGTATGCACCGAATATGAACAGCAACTGCCGACAATACGCCGAGCCTGAGTTCTATCCTGTCGAATCCTGCACGTGTTCGTAGTTTTATGGCCGAATGATCAATAGATATTGCAACGATTAGGCAGCTGTCGCTTTGCCGCGCTGCATCTTTGTTGTGCCGGAGCGTAAATGGACTGCGAATAAGGTATACGTGGCAATTAATCGGTTCGAAATGAGAAATTAGCTGATCGCCGAATTTTTGTCTACAGTAGTAATGGTTTCACAGACTGGTGCAAATATTGTTAACACCCACTGTATGGTTGAAACTAAATGTTATGAAGATGATGGATGTGAATTTCAGACAACAAGGTAGTGTATCATGGCGCCATAATGGTCGCTGAATATCATTCAAAATGCCGTTCGAACAGTAATAATACTTTTATATTTTTTGTTTTGAAAAAGGTGCCTGTAAATCTAAATGCACCAACCGTTAGAACAAAAATCGCCAGTGAACATCTTTTTTTTGCAAGATACCTGTACATACGTTTTTCTGTAGTACACTTGATGCTAGAGCTTTTTTGGCAGAGTAGTAATCTATTTATTCGTTTGGTAGCTCAGAATGCTTTTCTCAATTATAATTATAACATATAATGTAACTTGCCCTCCAGGCAATTTGTTGCGTAAATGATTCACAATATGTACAACATTTATACTCTAATAAATACCATTCAAGGTGTATAAAAAATAGGCATTGCAGTTGATTTACCAGACTTTGTATTATTACAAGCTTTTATACAACTTGACCTGTTTGTTAATATGTTGGTATGTTTGAAACAAATCTTGGTACCGAATTTTGAACCAGTTAACCTTAACCAAATGATCTGAAATTTTGTACACATGTTTGGTTTGCAAGATAATGCAAAATGAATTAACTGCCGTCATTCTAAATCCAATATGGCGGCCGCCGTAAAATGGCGATCTACATTCTTCATAGTCACTCCCCGATATGGGTATCAAATGGAAGGGCTGCTAGAGAGAAACACAATAAGAAAAGTGACGTCATTCTAAATACATATGGCGACCACCCCAAGATGGCGTTTATATTTACATAATCACCTCTATAATATAGGTATCAAATTAAAAGGCTGTATGAGCGAAACATAAAAAGGAACGTGACGTCATTCTAAATCCAATATGGCAGCCGCCGTTAAATGGCCCTTTATCGTTATTACCCATCAAAATTTTATAATACAAATCAAGTAAGAAGTTTCATGGAGTTGTTAATAAAATATATGGAAATTATATAAATTACCAAATTGGTTATGTGGCATCATAATTATACAGGGTGTCCGCAAAGTTGGGGTTTTCCTTTACACGACGTGTAGATCTTGAAAACATAAGCAATTTTTCTTAGTACCATATACACCAATGTCTTAAGGGAACCGAGATAAAGGGCTCTGCAACATCAAAAATATCTGAATACCGTCCTGTAGCCGCGACATCACCGACTGGTACAAGGTCACTGGCTCAACCCGACGACAGAACTGGGTCGCGGTCAGTGTGTCAGGTCAGTATGCAACCTTCAACCGACGGTTACGGTCACGCGTGTAGAGGTAATCGCGTAGATGATAATCCCACAACAAGCACTAGAGACGTGGCTAGAGAAGTGCAAGTATCAAAAACTAAAGTGTGGCAAACGCTGCGTGAAGAGAAGCTGTATCCGTTTCACGTCCAACGTGTACAAGCCCTTCAACCTGACGATTTTCCAGCAAGAGTGCGGTTTTGTGAGTGGTTGTTGCATCAACATGACAATAATCCGGACTTTTTGAAGTGCATATTGGTGACAGACGAATCTACGTTCACGTGTAATGGGGTGAATAACTTTCGCAACACTCATGTTTAGTCAGTAGAAAATCCGCACGCTGTCCGTCGGGCACATTTTCAACAAACATTTTCGGTGAATGTTTGGGCTGGCATGGTGAACGGTATGCTCATGGGACCATTTATTCTCCCAAATCGATTGGACGGGATGCAATACCTAGACTTTTTCCGCAACATTTTGCCTTCCTTCTTAGAAGATGTGCCATTAAGTGTAAGACAATCAATGTGGTTTCTGCGTCTGCTCGGTAGCGCATCAGCTGATTTCATTTTCGGTTGGAGCGGTATGATTTAAGGCAGAGACGTACTTAGCCCTTCTCGTCAACTGGAGAGTGAGTACTTTTTCCTTTATTTTTTTACTTGGTCGCCCTCGTTTCACTACACATTACCTTTGTTATTTCAAGGGTAGTTGTTTCTGAAAAGGAAAACCCCAACTTTGCGGACACCCTGTATATATATATATAATTTTTGTTATTCCGGCTATGTTGGTTCTCTGAACATTTTGTCAAGTACATTGGTGCAGTACTCATGACAACAGACATATATGAGAAACACGGACTTGTGTGATGCAGATATTTTTAAACAACAGAAAACTTGTGAACCGAAGTTCGACTATTATCACTTGCATCGTCCAGGTACTCTAGGTAATCGTACGTTTTGAAAATTGACTCAGAGGCGGCGAAAATAAAATCGCTGGAACATAGTGTTACATCAGGGATACCTGCTCATTTACAGACATTGTTTTGAGGGGATTTTTTTTTATACTCTAACTACCACGAAGGCCTAAGGCCTAAGCACCCATTGGGTACCGTGGGGCTATGGGGGATACATGGGAAAGGGGGGACGCCACACAGACTCTGGCGAGGGAACACGTGTGCATGCAACATGCACACATTCTGGCTCCGCCTACGAGATCTGCCGGGTGGTACGTCCACGTTCGACAGCGAGAGACCGTCTACCACCTACGGACAATCATAACATCCATAGCCAAGAGAAACATTTCTCCTGGATACGGGACTCGAACCCGCACAGCGCACGGCGACTGATCAGGACACCGAAGAGTCTACTACTGCGGCCACCGCTGCTGCCAAAATGATGATTGTAGGTTGGAAACAGTATGCGGTAAATGGTTGTAAAGTGTTGCATATTTGGGGTCAGTGAGACCTTCTATTATTAAGAAGTCGCTGATATCAGTGATATTATGCACCTGTTAGACGAAATAAGTAACACATATCTTCGCTACATCTGTTCGATAGTTTGATACGCAGAGGTCGAAGATTCTTCGTACCTAAGTGAACCTACATAATCGCGATTCGATTTTTCATTTTGAAACGATTTGACTCATTCCTTTGCTCTGAACCTCCAACGAAGGTGTAGAAAGTATAGAGTCAACCTAGTTGATGCCTTTTTTGGATATGTTGCATAATTATATTTCTTAGAAAATAAGGTATTAGTTCCTCGTGCGCCCGTTTGACTGATTTTAAGTACTGTTCAGAATGTTGCATTCAATTACAACTCAAATTAATAAAAATGGTGTTCCACTCAAATGAGTCAATTAACAATTCGATGCTTCGACAGACAGCATGTTAGCCCTACGTATTGTGCCGCGACAAAAACATGATCTACAACAAAGCTAAACTCCATGCCAAACTATTTAGTGTATCCAGAGCCCGTTTACAATATATTCCCTCGACTACGATACAATTTTAATTATGCCGTACGGGAATTGTCGGAAAATTCAAAACAATTTTCATTAAACGAATTACACGCTGGAAATAATAATTGATGATGGAAAATTGCCCCCATACCCCTCCCCCCCCTCCTGATTTCCCGAACCCTCTTTCAGCGATGGCAGCGTAATTTTATTTTCTCCCTGCCCAGTTGAAAGCCGAATTTAGCACATCACATAGAACCCGACTTTTATACTTTTATTTTATGTTTCCAATTTTATTAGTGTATCATTATTAAATTGTATTGTTTGTTGTTCGCCATATTAATGCGTTTTGATTTTTCCACCGGTATAATCTATTTAAAGCATTATTAATTTATTATTCCAATAATTATTATGAATACTATTTTACCTTTGATTATATTTTTTTGCAGGTAAGCTGTTCCACCGATCGAAATGTTTCACAGGATCGGTAAGATTTAGATGCATATTGACGTGTATACGACAGTATTTTTTAGATTGTGCGAGTTCTAATTTCACCATAAAATTGAAACGTTTTATCTTTTGCTAACCTCCTCAGGTATAGTGTATATACAGGGTCCGCCAAAGGAACCTGATGAGTTTCAATATGAAACTACAAATGTATCTTTCAAGATATTTATTTTCATATATAAGTAATCGAAAGTGTATTACATGCCATTTTATGTATGGAAAATAACTTCGGTCAAATGATGTCCTTCACTGCGGACACACTCTTCCAAACGGTTTCGCACATTTCCCATTACGCGCTGTACCATACTCATCGGAATCGCGCTAATTTCATTGCGAATGTTTTCCTTCAATTCTTCAATGGTCCTTGGGCTCGTTAAATATACCTTGCTTTTGAGATAACCCCATAACCAATAGTCACAAGCCGTGAGATCGAGAGACCTTGCCGGCCAAGGAACATCTCCATTCCGCGAAATGACTCTTCCTGGAAACATTTCTCGCAGTCGAACCATTGTTGCTCGTGCTGTATGCGCTGTGGCGCCATCTTGCTGAAACCATACAGTATTCAAATCTATGTTCCGTCGACGAAGCTCTGGTTCCAAAAATGTGTTTAACATTTCCAGATAACGTTGCGAATTGACCGTGACAGAATTTCCAGCATCGTCCTCAAAAAAATAGGGTCCAATTATGCCGAATCGCGACACTCCGCACCAAACAGTAACCTTGCGACTATGAAGGGGTCGCTGGTGAAGTTCTCTCGGGTTTTCTGCACACCAGTAGCGAAAATTCTGCTTATTTACGTAGCCTGATAACTCGAAATGCGCCTCATCAGACATAATTAAGCCACCTAAAGCGTTTTCATCCAAAAGTTCCAGAAGCTGGTTGCTTGCAGTCAAACGGTTCACAAAGTCTTCAGCTGTCAGTTCTTGAACCATCGCTAATTTGTAAGGGTGATAATGTAAATCCTTATGCAAAATACGCCGCACTGTTGTTTCTGAAAGCCTTAGACTAATTGCTTGTAGCCTAGCTGAACGACGTGGACGTTGCTGCACCGCTGTTCGCACCCTCTCAATATTGGCTGGAGTCCGAACTGTTCGACGCATTCCTGGTGGCTTAGCTTTCATTGCTGATGCAGATCGACGAAAATTTTTGACCCACAACTTAATTGTGTTACGGCATGGAACAGAACCATGACGTCCGACATTGAAATGTGTACGAAATAGACGCTGTGTAATGATCACCGAGTCGTGATTTTTAAAATACGTCTCGACAACAAATGCGCGATGTTCACTTGTCCACAGCTCCATGACTACTGAAATGGCATCTACTACCGATGTCTTGCCCACTGTAACCGATGTTCTACGTCAAAAAACAGCTTCGTACTATCCATTCTGAAAACGTCAGGTTCCTTTGGCGGACCCTGTATATACAATGTGTTTGGTCACGACATACCGATATTTAAGAGGGGTATCTTTCAGCTATTTTTATCGACAAATCCACCTCCCTACAATGTCCTACCTCATCCTCCTTGAAATGGCAGCCATTTTTATTTTTACGTTACGATTACGGCAGTGCATGTATGAAAATTGTAATGAGTACGTAAGTGTCACAGAATGATAAATTTGGTGTCATTTGAACGATGACATGTTGTCCTAGCGATTATTGAAAAACTTGTTTTGATACTAACCGTCAAACATACTTAAAAACAGACAAAAACAAAAAATATGGAAGAACATTGATTATTTTGTGCATTTCCGCACAACATTCAAAAACTAGTCTGCGAAGTTGTACTTTTTTGTGCTAATTCTACAGCTTTTTGTTATCCTAAGTATCCTACGTTAAGCAATAAATGCTATCTAACATGGTTCAAAAAGGGTGTAATAAAATGCAAATTGTTTTCAAACTCTCTATACATAAAAATGACAAATCAATGTTTCTATAGAGAGCTTGGACATGTTTAATCTTACAGAAGCTGTACAAAATGTCCTCCATTATTGGTTATGCACATTGTTGTTCTTAAAAAAATGTGTCGTTTTGAGCGGCAGACCATACCCGTGTCAGTCCTAATTTCATTCGCAGCGGTATGGATCCATTTCAAGGATGGTGAGGTAGGACATTGTAGAGGGTGGATTTGTCGATAAAAATAGCTGAAAATATCCCCCTCAAATATCGGTATGTCGTGACCAAACACATTGTATATATATATATACAGGGTGTTCCTTAATGATATGCGAATATTTAAGGGTGTCAATCTACATGAAAAATTAATGTTAGTTTGCTTTATAAACTATGGTCCAAAAATGTTTCCTTACAAAAAAAATGGAAATTAATTAATATTTTCAGAACCGCTTCAGATATGTCACTGATATTTAGTACGTAGTGAAAGTTAATAAAGTTGCATATTTTTCAATGCAAAAATAAGTGTTAGCTTTAACTGTGGCGTGCGTACGGGTATTGACTTCGACATTTTTTAAGAAAAAAATGGTACGCCAATTATTTTTTTGCCAAATAAAAATTATTTTTGAATCCCCGTTCAATTTGAAACAAATGATCTCTCTTGAATTGTTTTCCTTCGATGCGCTATTTTTGAGTAAAAAAATAAAAACCGTTACATTGTCTAACTTGCAAAATTATTATTAATTTAATTGGAAAAATTAAACACATTAGGGGTAATGAATAACAACTCGCAACATAAACATAGCATTAAAACCAACGAAATGATTACAAAAATTGTTAAAAATGACCCCCTTCACTTAGTATGCATGCTTCCGCCCTCTTTCTCATGGAATTGCGCACTCGTTAAAATATCCGTGGAGTGTTTTTTATTCTATCACAAGCTGCAACTATTCTTTCTCTTAATTCCTCTACAGTGTTAATGGGACTTGTGTACACTAGTATCTTAAGATAGCTCCACCAAAAGAAATCTAAACTGTTGAGGTCTGGGGACCTTGGAGGCCATTCTTGGGCCCCACCGCGGCCAATCCAACGATTTTAATAAACAGTTTGTAAATAATTACGAACCGCTACACTGAAATGGGCTGGTGCACCATCATGCATGTACCACATATTGCTTCTTATTACTAACGGAACATCATCAAGCAGCAAAGGTAACTGTTGTTGAATAAAATTGTGGTGCCAATAATTCCTGCCCATACGTTAAACGAAAATTGGTGTTGGAAATGGGTTTCGGTTACGGCATAGTCATGTATAACATGCCATAAATAGATTTTCCCAAAATGTATTTGTTTATGAGTAATATTCCGTCCACACATGGATGGGCCACCCTATATACAGGGTGTTCCATAATTATTGCGACAAAATGATAGGGGTTGTAGAGGGCACAAAAATATGCAATTTTGCCTTATAAACCCCTGTCCGTAATTATGCCGTTTGAGCACTACCACTAATTTTACTTTAAGAGCTCATAGGAGAAACAAAAAATTCACCAGCTGCAAAATGTTCGTCTAGCACATTTCATGGTCTCACCGGTTGGTAAAAAAAGCCTGCTGTGTTTACATTTTTGTTATCGTAAATTCTCCACACCGATTCATTTAATTTATCTGAGTGGTGCGTCAAACTAGATAGTAAATAACAGTACCTTAGTGTTAAAATGCAGCGTTATTCGTATGCGGAACTTGCGGATATGCATTTAATTTACGGAGAAGCTGGTGGTAACGGAAGACGAGCCTCGCGAATCTACGCCCAAAGGTTTCCAGAACGTCCTCATACGCATCACGCCATTTTTGCAAGGATTCATGGACGTCTTCGTGTCAGTGGCAGCATCAGACACCTCGCGGGAGCAGGGCGGCCCTTCACGAGGCGCATAGTAGAATTTGAGGAAGCGATTCTGCATCATGTAGAGGCCAATCTGCGTACAAGCGTGCGTGCTATTGCACATGATATGGGAGCGTCTCAAACTACTGTTTGGCGGGTTCTCCATGACCAGCAACTACACCCATACCACCTTTTAAAAGTCCAAGCCATGGGTCCAGAAGACTATCTGCCGCGTCGACGTTTTTGTCGTTGGTGGCTGCAGCAGGAGTTGAGGCAACCAAACTTTGGTCGCTACGTTTTGTTCACTGACGAGTCCTGTTTTACAAAGGACGGATATTTTAATAGCCGTAACAGTCACATTTGGGATGAAGAAAACCCTCATGCCATAGCCATCCATAGAGGCCAACATCAGTTTTCAACATCTGGTGCGGCATTGTGGACGAGCATATCATCGGGCCATATTTGCTTCCACCACGTTTGGATGGGCATGCTTATGGTCGATTCTTACAGCATGTGCTACCGGAACTATTAGACAATGTGCCACTGAACATAAGAGCCAACATGTGGTTTCAACACGATGGTGCTCCAGCCCACTTTTCTTTACAAGTGCGGCAGTATTTGGACGAGAAATTTCCAAATAGGTGGATAGGCCGAGGTGGCCCTGTGCCTTGGCCTTCGCGGTCACCCGACCTGACCCCACTGGATTATTTTCTCTGGGGCCACCTGAAAGCTTTAGTGTACGAAACTCCTGTTCCCAACCAACAAGAGTTACTGGGAAGAGTGATGGCCCCGTCCGCACATGTTCAGGACATACCGGGGGTATGCCACAGAGTTCGCCGATCATTGAACAATCGTGCACAGCTGTGTATTGAGCAAGGTGGAGGACACTTTGAGCAATTACTGTAGGTAAGCTGTTTCAAGGAACTGATCTTTTTTTTTTGCTGCAGCTCAAACGGTATATTTCCGAGCAGGGGTTTATAAGGCAAAATTGTCCATTTTGATGTCCTCTACAACCCCTATGATTTTGTCGCAATAATTATGGAACACCCTGTATATATATATATATATATAACAAAAAGTAGAAAAATAATGGGCAAAAGCCACAAAAAACAGGAAAGTGGATTCGAGCAGAAAATAGGATAGGTAACCCGAGCGATACGTATTTCTGCTGGTTGGCTTCATCAGGCCCGAAATGAATGCACATATGCA